ACTTGCTCTAAATTATCTTGAGAGTACAAATGCAAGCATCACTATCACTACCATACCCTTCATTTATCCTCATAAAGGCTCTACAAGTGGAAACTTACACGAAGCACTTTTGCCTCTACCACGAATTCTTGCTCTAAAAACACCAACAAAATTAACGTTAACCCAGATCTCCACAATACATTCACTCCAAAACAACCTAATCATCGAGAGTACAATGATGGAGTTACACCATACTCGTCAGGTTATTCAGAAAAGTGCCACCAAAATCTCGCATCAAATGTAGGGTGGAAAGCACGTCCCCAACATCATACGTATTGACTGGGGACACAATAGCAGCGTCAAGGCAAACAGCTCCCGCACTTCTTACTTTTCAACCCTATCCTCCGAGACAGGAAGCAATGGTGATTCACTCACCCTCTATACCGATAATCATCAATCTACCTCCACAATGGTGCCTCCTTCTCCGATAAGAACTCACCACTCACCACAACGCAGTCCAACATCTCACACAAGCCCAGTCTCTCATCCTAGCGCACCCAACCTATCCACAACTCGTAGTGTCCATTCCGTGCGATTCACAGCACTCCCACTTTCGCCGACTCTGCTTGCCATCCCACGATAACAAATAACCTCATCACAGTGACAGTTCCTAACAGTAACACCACCAATACTACAGTAACACTACTACTACTACCACCACCACTATCACTCTCCAAAGAACACACTCGGACACACCAAGTGCCGAATTATCTCATTTTCTCCTATACAATGAACCGGACTCCATGATCTTACGCCTCCTCCTCCAATTTATAAACCTTCCTAACTTCGGGTATTACAACCACAACATCAACAAAAGCAGGATGTGGATGCATACGTAGACGTGTGGGCACCTGCACGAACGCACGAGCTATATTAACCGCAAGCAGGACGATGGGAAACATGGCCACCCAAACGGTTCAGGCCATTTCCTACCACAGGTCAATTAACAACAGAACGAACCAAACAGTCCACACTGCACTCTACACACTACAAATGTTTCATATCACAAAATAACTTGCCCGTCTGCCATCTCCGTATTTATTTCTCAGTATTTCCCTAAAAAGAGCAACAAGGATGGAAGTGGCAAAATAATCATAAATATATTATACCTACAAATTGAACACCTTTCCTTACTAATAGGTTGCTAGTTGGATATCATACAATCTCAATATGATCATCACATAATTCGTTCTGTCAGGTTCGTTCCCTTGATAACGTTGTTGCTGTAACCTTGTGTATGTTACAAGTGTGGTAAGCCCACTACCAAGTGATACCGCCTTCCGCATGCGTATCCACAACTGTCCTCCCCACAACGATGCCATGTCTTAACTAAACCCTCTAGCAATATCGTCTAAAGAAACCCAATCTATTCTACACCTCTACCCTGGGTAACAACATTCACACCCGCTAACCAAAATATTCCCAATTGAGTGAATGACCGATTGGTT